AATAATTTCTTATTGCAAAAATGCTGAAAAACCGCGAGTTTTTGCTTTAGTATTTTTTTATGGCGAAAACTGCGAACTCGGCAAAATTGGTTGTACACTTCCCTTTATCATATACACCGAGCGACACCGATGCCAGCTGACTGTGACCATAATGAGGCATGCCGACGTGGGGAACTTGTTGCATCATAATTTTGTCACGAGTGTGGGTGCGTGAATAAATCATGTTAATGAGGACGACCAGAGTTTATTTTCAGTCTGTTTTTTATGTATCGCCATTTGGATATGTTTATGTATTCACAATAGTTTGTAAACATTTCACATCAGTAATAAAAGGTTTATTTGTTTCATAACCCTGTCTTCTATTCTTCAGTAATTACGACGCGATGTATCAATACGTGCGTGAACAAAATTATGCTAATGAGGTCATCGCCATCTTGGATTACAAGTGGTAGTTTTTCCCACAGGGTTTTTCCCGGCAGTTTCGACTTGCACTGATCACGGTTACTAAAAAAGTAACCGTGCATTGATTACAATACTTACCATACTTTGTAGACAATTCCAGTGAGTAATACAACTTCATTCGCTGACGTAAAACAAGTTTTATTCTTAAAATTCGACCCTGTGTCTTAGTGTTCCCACAGTTCTTGATCGAGTGCTCACGTTTATTGAAACCTCGCATAAATCATAGACCTGGAGGGTCTATGCATAAATCAAGAAATAAGTACGTGTACAAAGTGTACGAAAGCATTCCTTTATTTGACCTTATCATACGATCACAAACACAACTTTTTAAAATCTTTTTTGGGGTGGTCCTCGGGTAAGCGCCCACCCCCAATTTTTCCCGATTTTGTATAACAACATTTATTTATATCGTATCCCTTCTGGGATCTATATTAGAATACAATAAGGATATAAGGAACAATAAAATACATAAGTAATAATAATAATAAAAAAGAAATAAATAGTAATACTGTGAAAATATTATTATATAAATATTTTTTGGTGATTTTTTGTATGTTCAGGCCCCTGGGCGCGTGTCCAAGGTAATACGGTAGAAGTGGGAGAGATCATTTCTGAGAGGGCACCCACAACCATACAATACTGTAGTGTTTGGGTCTATGACTAATGACGGCCAAGAGAATTTCTAATATTTTCTGGATTCTAACATTTTGGTCTTTGACATACATGGAATTGATGAATTGGCAGTAAGTAATTACAATTTAGATTCAAGTTATTCCTGTTGTGGCGACATTTAGTTTTCAACACAACAGGATTATGAAATGAATGACAAAAATCAAAATCCTATTTTAAATTTGGGATGTTTCATTTCATTGAATCGCTAAGAAGAGCCTTTTCGGTTATTTGCATATTTTCAGTCGACCGCGAGCCCAACAACGTGCAAACTACAATGTTACAAGTCAGTTCTATTTTGATGCCCAGTTTTTAATATTCATAGATTAACACTCTTTTTGTATATGACGTCATAGTTGAGAGCTGAAGCCACGCTAACTGATTTGTGGCCTTGATACTGTAAAAGAGTTAATTATTCACTGGGTTTTAATTTTGCTTATTTTGCTGACTGGAAAATGTGCTAAATTAAAACCCAGTGAATTTGTAAAATTTAGCCTAGGACACATTATCTAAATTATAAAACCATGAATTTAAAACCCACTGAATATGCCTGAAACGCTAAATCAGTGAAATTTAAACCCAGTGAAAATTAATCATTTTACAGTAATTGAAAATCAGAGTATATCAGTGTTCTTGTCAAACAGGGGCATTCTGTCAGTTGGCCACTCAATATTCAATCATAGTGGAATTACTGTAATCATGCTATACACCTTCTACTAACTTTGAAGAGGAGCATTGTAAATGAGGCTGTCTGAACAAAATTACACACTAAAATATTGCACAATCCAATGCCAACAAAATTATCACTCATCACTTTCAAGCACTGAAGTGTAATTTCAAAAACCTTAAGAATAATAATGACAGTGAACAAAGTTTCAACAAATGATGTGTAACCAAATGACCGATTGATTAATGGACGATTGAATTGCCAAAGGAGTTTGATTTGCTCCACGATCTATTTCACAAATTCATTCATTTTTAGAGAATAAAAATATACTGGAGGATTATTTTAATTTCCAAGAGCAAAAAATATCATATACATATTTACACCAACAAATGGTGCTATTTCAATGAGCTGAAGCAAAGACAATGGTTCAATTCATAGATTGTCAGTTTGTTCAGTTTCTTACCTTTCCTCACATCCAAAGCATAGTTCTCATTGCCATTGTATTTCCCGTCCAGAGAAAACTGAATAGCACCTGTTGATGGGATTCTTGCTCGGTGACTGTGGTCATAGAAACCATTGTATACACCATTCATATATACTGTATCTCCATATACCACTGTTGCTAGGAAACCATTTCCTATTGTTGCCATGTACTTGTTATTGGTAGGTAACCTATAGTGAAGGAACATTTTGAATACTGCATCTTTTTCAGTTTACTTAAGGAGGGAGGTCTGTGAATACCCTCATACTGTGAAGAAAAAATATCAGAGCCTGTCCACCTCATGTAATGGGCCATTACTGATTATTTGTGCTATAGACCTTGCTTTCACATTGACAGAATGTATCGGCAGTGAATCATACTATCGCATTGTTGATGGCCATGGCAGTGAATTGGGTGAAATAAGTGTAACACTGTGAATGACCAAGACAGTACTTACTTGTCAGAAAGAAAGATATACGGGTCTGTAGACTGGTCCTTGACTCCACCTTGATGATTTGATTTATTAAACAACTTTGCTTTCATTACTTCCTCTTTAATTTTATCAAAACCTGACATTTCTCTACTTATCGAATGCACCATTTCCCCAGGATCCATTGCGGCTGAAGCACATCATTCAACATATACTGAACGTCTTTGACATTATTATTCAGATAAAAAGCTGCCTTTGAGGTGATGCCAGAAATAAAAATTACTAGATACAATATGAAGAGTGATTCAACGGGATTCATTGTTTTCCTGTAATAATGAAAATGAGGAAATCGGTGAATATCAAATATACAACTATCATACAGAAGTAGCAGAAAACTAGGTAGATACGCATTGTCTGTCAAATTTTAGGGCAATATTAATCAGGGGTTTTTCTAAATCGGGGAACAGGGGCACAGCCGATACTTTCTGAAATTTTGGACTCTCTATGTTTGTATGGGCACTTTATTTTGAGTACTCCTCTCCCTCTTCCATCAGGTGAAGCTCCCAAATATGGATTTGTTCTTGAAATTTGCACCCCAGCTTTATTTACGATGACATGCTGGCATACAACTCTGAGGTGATGTAGGTTTTTTAACAACAAGCAGCCTGTCAACTGAGATATCTCTGCTGTTAGCAATGCACATTGCAATTAAGAACTGAAGATATCATTAGAAAATGAACAATATGTATAGTAAAAGCCATCGGACTTTTTAACAAGAAGTCAAAAATATCACTTTTTACCAAAAATGACAAAAATATTCACCAAAATTAGAAAATTAAAGATATCATCACGAAATGAACAAATCTGAAAGAGGTCTACCCAA